TCCCAGGCCTTCTTCTGAAATCTGGGTGGAAGCCTTAACCTCGGAACTCTTGCATGCTGCAAGTGCCTAAAACCAATGCCACGTGGATGATGCCATGATCTGCGGCCAATGGAGCAGTAGCCAGGCTTCCTTCTCTCTGGACTATAGTGGTTGAGTGCCTGGATCCCTGAGCACTCTGACTCTGATTCTGAGGAATAAATTCTCCACGTCATGTGTGAGCCATTCTGCAAATTGTTGTGGCCACTGCCTTCATTCTTGAACATGGGGCTCTGTGGCTTTCTCCTCAAAGTAAAGTCCCTTATGCTTGCAGATCTCAGGCTGCAAAGGTTGGAGATCTGCAGCCTCCTGTGATGCCCTCAGGCCATCATTTCCATTCTCTTATTCTTTCTTGGCAATGGAGATCCTCTATTGGCTGTAATTTTGAAAAGGGGACTCTTAACTTTAATAATTAATACTTAAGCCAGCTCTGTCATTCTTGCCCTGTTTTATTTTTCTTCACACTTACTACTCTGTATTCCTTTGCATACTACCATAATGTAAGATCTTTTTTTAAGAGAAAAAAATAATAAATCATTAGAAATGATACAGTATTTCAAAAATCAAGAATTCAACAGTGGTTGTTAAATTGCACATTGTCTTCAATATAGTTGTTCAGATTATGATATAAACATGTAAAATTGGTAAAAAAATTAAACATTTTTTCAATAAACCAGTAGAAATTAGTAGTAAAATTATCTTAGCTATCTTGTGTATATAGATATGTATTTTTCCCATCCTTTTTTCCTTTCCCTCATCCCAGTTGTTCTTTTGAGCAGTTTCTTTCCATTTCATAGTATCTATTGTACCTTTCAGATTTCATTTACTCTTTCAGTTTCTTACACTAACAATATGATGTTTACACATGTGAGCCTGATTTATTTCACTTATAAGTATGGTATCTAGTTGCATCCATTTACCTATAAAAGCCTCGGTTATCTTTCTTTACATGAGTAGTACTCCATTGTATAAAAGGCCTCATCTTTTTTTATCCATTCCTCAGCTGATGGGCATTTGCGTTGCTTCCAGTATTTAGCTACGACAAATTGTATTAGCTGCTATTAATATGGGTGCATATATATCACTGTGGTATGTTTTCAGTTCTGGAAAAAAACACCCAGAAGGGGAATACCTGGGTTGAATGGGACCCCTAATCCTACTTTTTGGAAGAATCTACACGTTGATTTCCACAGTGGTTGTACTAGTCTATACTCCCACCAACAGTGGAGAAGGGCTCCTTTTCCCCCACAGCTCCTCCAGTATTTGTTACTAGTTGACTTCTTGATGACAGCCATTCTGAGGTGAAATGGAATCTGTGTTGTTTTAAATTTGCATTTCTCGAATGACCAATGTTGAACTTTTTTATATACTTATTTCTCTTTTGTATTTCATCTGAGAAGAGTGTATTCATCTCAGATGCCCATTTTTGCATTAGGTCTTTGAATTGTGGGGGCCTGAGTTTTTAAAAATTCTTTATATGTTCTAAATGGAAGTCTTTTGTCTGAGGGACAATTGGCTAAAAATTTTTTCCCAATTTGTGGGATTTTTTTGTCCTTTATTTTTGATTTCTGGTATGATATCCCACTTATTCTTTGAAGTATTTCTTGTGCCTTTTGGTTATTATTCATGAACTGTCTGCCTACCCCTATGTCTTCAAGATTTCAACCTATTTCTCTTCCAGTCGATTTAGTGTTTCTGTTTTAGTTCAAATCTTTGATCCATTTTGACTTTAGTGCATGGTAAAAGACATCGGTCTAGTTTTATTGTAAGATCATTTGAGGAGAGAATGCTCACCTGATATTCAGAGCCTATACTAGTAACTAACACAAATGAAAAGTTTGCATTTCATTCATGGAATCAATGAGTCTGGTTGAAGGGATCATCTCAATGCAAGTGTTAGATTCATACTTGGTCAGCTGTGACTTAGCCGCAAGTCTTTATACCTAAGAAGTATTTACAACTCTTAGTCTCTATTTAATAGAAGCAGGACTATAAATTTTAAGGCCCTGGGCATAAATGTCATCATTGGTAGAAAGGGGAAAAAATCCTCTGTCACTGAAATAATGGAAAAATATTTATCAAGTACTTCATTTTTTTAGCACAGCACTGCTTTCTTCCTCAGCAAGCTATAGAAACCATAATCTTCCTTCCGCAAGTCACGTCACAGAAACTAAAAAAAAAAGATATAATCTTTTCCTACCCTTCTGTCTTGGAGCAGACCATTACAAAATTCTCTGTTACCTTGCCTAACAGATAAGACTCCATTTCAGTCTTATCTCATATCCAGGAGGAAGGAATGCTATACAGAGAGGTCCAAAAGAATCTGAACAGACAGGCTTTGCTGTTTTTCAACTCAGTTTATTGACCTTATATCATACTTTCTTTGTCCAATGAAATTTCTGCACAGTTGTCCATGCTTAATACAAGTCTCAGTAATTCTCAGCCCTAACAGTTTGGAGAATTTCTAGACAGCTGAACCCATGGAGCCTTACAACTCACTTATGTGCTTAGGATAGCACACCCTAACTACATGGACACAGAAGCTCCTATACTCAGAACCCCTCCAGACAGTGCCCATCGTAATCTTTTATCTAGATATTTATTTGTGTCCTCTAAAGTACCATTTATAATAAATTAGTAATGTATTTTCTTGAGTTCTGTGAAGTGCTTTGATGGTGTTTCATGGTTGCAGAGGGTGTCATGGGAAGGTCTGGAGGCTCAGACCTGTGACTGGCATCTGAAGGGTCAGTCTTATTGGACTGACTTCTCAACCTGTGGGTTCTGACTTTGTGTCCTGGTAGATAAGTGTCCGAATGGAAATGCAATATAGGATGCCCACCCAATGTCTACTGAAAAATTTCTTGCTTAATGATGGGAAGAAATCGCTACATATTGGGATCACAGACATGATCTGTGTTGTGTGCATAATAGTAAAGAAAAAACACTTTATTTCAACCTCAAAATTACCATATAATAATCTTAAGAGCTTATTTCTACACATGAATAACAGCTGATATTTGGTAACAGAAAGATGACATAATTTTGTTACATTATCTTGTTCCTGAAGTGAAATATTTAATAACAGTTGTGGCCTATTACCACCAAATAGGAAGTCAATAAATTAACTTGTGAATACTGAAATATTTAAAATGCTAACAAGCAATTCTGTGAACATAGTCCAGAATTCATACAGTACTTTCAGCCTCTAAAAAAAAGAAAAACAAAACCCAAAATTTCACCTGCAAAACCTGACCATGTCAAAGAGTTCAGCTGGGACTTGAAACACTAACAAGTAAACCCACCAGGAAGAACCCCTGGGACAAGCAGAACACACTTTAATGAGACAACTTGTCCAAGTACTAAACACAATCGCAGCAGACAGGTAAAGAGTTTATCACAGCACAAGACTCAACTTTCTAAGACTTAAGATGCATTGGAAAGAAGTGAAATTGAGAAGTTATGAAAGCTGGTACAGAAAAGCAGACACAGAGCAATATATTTCACGTAATTTATACAACAGAGAAGTTTCTCAACTAAGTGAAAAACGTTAGTCTAGAAAGGCAGAATGACGGCCAATACCAAGATTTTCAAACTCCATCATGTTCAAAGATAGTAAGGATAAAACTCCATGTATTATTTATTTTTAAAAACCAACCAAATTTTTAAAATAAAACTTAGCTGTTGTCTTACTTTTTACTCGTTGCTGGAACAAATACCTGACACTCAAAATGAAGGAAGGAAAGGATTATTTAGCTCAGTTTGTGGAGGTTTTAGTTTATACTTTGCTGGCTCCAAAGCAAACGATGGCAGTTCACGGCGGCAGAAAACAATGAAGAGCAGAGGAGCAGCAGCAGCTGTGGCATCCATCAAGCCTCTTTCTTCCTTCTACGCTGACTGTGAAGACGATGCTCCACAACGAAGATGGTAGCTCCTCCAAAGCAGCGTGGCTGAGATCAAGTTCCTCTGAAGACTGGGACTTCTCCATGGAAGCCGGGCAGGGGAGGGCTGCAGAAAGCCTTCATCAATTCTGTTATATACACTTTTTGTGCTGAGTCACTCTGGGGCAGCCCATGGCCCTAGGGTTGAACCAATTGCACCCCAGTGCTGGCCCAATAGCCCCCAGGTTGGGCCCTGCCCACCTGCAGGGCTGGACTCCCACAGGGAACTGTCAATTCAGCCAAGTTAAAACAATGTATCAACTACCACAGTGGTCATCATTTTATATCACTCTGGACACCCCCCCCCAACCAAGGTCTTGAAGCATGTATTCAGGATAAAAATACATAAAATGCGAAGGAATTAAGAAAACATGTGGGCTGGAGAGATAGCTCAGTAGTCTAAAGTACCTGCTTAGGCAACCTTAGGCAGGCGCAGGGGACCATGGTTCAATCCCTGGCACCACATGCCACATTAGCCCTACCCTCAGGGTGGGCTGAGCTGGTTAAAAAAAAAAAGAAAAAAGAAAACATGTTAACTGAGGATTGTTATCAGAGTTTTATTTTTTAGTGGTGATAATTCGTTCTTTTTTTCCATAAAAGAAATGTTTTTATATTTCAACAACAAAATCGGCCTATAACACAGAGCATCCCATATAAACATACAATGCCATTTAAAAATAAAGTTAAGTCAAAACTAAAAAGAAACTCTAGGTTTAAATTACAACTCTTTCCAGTGATCCCTTTCCATTCTCCTCTAACATGACCACAAAAATCCTTTCAATCTGTATCCTTAATCCAGGGGTTAAATATAATAAAAGAACCGTATTTGCTAAGTACTAAATGGAAAGGTTGCAATATTTTGTTAGTTATCTACAGTTTTATTTCTTAGCTATTGTTAATTTTTAAGGGTGACCTGTTTTTGTAAACTCAAAAGTATCAAAAATATTCCAATGGTAAGTTCATTTATTTATAATTTATTTTTCATACATAATTAATGTGAAAAATTCTCTAAAGAAACTTAAAATACCATTATATCTTCAATGTAGCCAAGTTCTAATCTAAATGAGAAAGAAGTCAGTTTTCCTCTCATCTCATTTCTCCAGAATGCCAGTCCTCAAGGACTTCTGGAGCCTTGCTATGTTGGCATCTAGTGCTGCCAACCCATTTCTGAAGTCTTGTTCATCATGAGAAGTGAATGTTGAAAAAGAAGAGATGCTCCAGTCTGACATCAGGTCAGAATTTAAAAAGCTGCCATCACAGACAGCACTCCCTTTCCCTGGGACACTGGTGGTGTGACAAGCTGATGGGCCATGATGGGCCTGATCTTCTGGCTCTCTGGTGGCAGCAGGGATCTTACCAATTGCTTCCTTTATTTTCTTGAGGAGTTGTTGGTCTTCTGCATCAGCTGTTCTGCACAGTTTTTCAGGTATATCTTGTGCTTCGTTATTCACACAAAGTACAGGTGCACACAGTTTACGTTCTGTTTCCGGGGTCACTGCACTATTGCTGACCAGCTGGGGTGTAGCAATACTTACCTGTGGCTGGGGAGATATTCTTTTAGAAAGTGGTGAATTCTTTCTAGAAGTACTTCTAGCAAAAGGAATATAAATTGTACTATTCATATCACACTCATCCTCTATTAAGGTCATGCTTTCACACTCCACATCAGAATCCTGTTTTGAAAGGGCAGGAAAAATTCCTGGAGTGGATACTGTCTCCATGACCCTAGTGTCCCCATGGGGAGGCAACACATTTTCATAGGATCTGACTGGCTTTATGATTTTCTCAGTGTTAACTGCAGAAAGTGGCTCTGAGTTAACTGCAAAAGGTGTAAAACTGTGATTTGCTTCTAACTTATGAAGGTAGCTCATTACAGAAGTGTGAGAAGGGGCTGGGTCCTGTTGAAGTTGTTTATCATAGATGTGCAGAAGTGATCTGGTAAGGTTATTCCCAGGCTTGCAGCGAGTAGTAGTATCCACACTAAGATCTGAGAGCAGCTTTGCCATACTGTTCTGTAACGTTCTATCAAGAATTTAAAAGAGTATTTATTAGGGTTTTTTTTTTTTTTGCCTATTTTTCATTATATATATGCATCATTTTTAAAAAAAAAGAATTTCAAGTATATATCTTACTCTTAACATGAAAATAAGCTACTAGGGGCCTGAGAGATGACTCAGTAGAATAAGCGCTTCCCTGGCAAGCGCAATGGTCTGAGTTCAATCCCCGGTTCTGCCAGAAAAAAAAAAAAAAAAGAAAGAAAACAAGCTACTATAAGCCAAAAATGATAGATTGTATTTAGACAGGAGTAAATTACAAATGAGAAAAGATCTTGATTTGTGTCAAACTTAATATTACATGTAAAAGTGAAGGCTCATAATTGTTTTCTCTTAAGATATGAAAATGTTTTACTTCCGAGCAATACTACAAAATGAACCTCTGAATAAAAAGCCATCCTAATATAGTAAGCTACATTATAAAAAACAGAAAATATAGTACTTATATGCTACAGGTTTTGTTAAAAATTATTTTCCTCCATTCAAAATGCATACACAAAGAATACTGGAATAATTCTGGAAAAATGAATGGCTAGATGTAATTAGCATAATAAGGTATAAGCAATAGCCAAGTATCAGAAAAGTGGGATGGAAAGAAAAACACACAGGGTTAGAAGTTAGAAAAAATGTCATCAACTTCTACTGCTATCATTAGCTGTGATTTTGGAAAAGTCATCTAACCTTTCTGAATCTCAATTTTGTCAATTGTAAAGTGAAGATACCTACTTCAGAATTATAACAAAGATTCAACAATATTAAATAATAAGATATAAGGGTAAAATACTTAGTACAGTTCCAGTCTATATGGATATTTACTTGATGGCAGCTTGTATTGGTAGTTTTATTAAAGCTGTTTCATACTCTGTTTGAATTGAACCATGATAAAGGTGTGTGTGAGAACTTCTTGCCATGTTCACTGGACTCCTCCAGCCCGAGCCCAGGCCCTGCGTGTGTGTGAGAACTTCTGTGCTGGACCCCTCCAGCCCAAGCCCAGGTCCAGTGTGTGTGAGACCTTCCTTATGCCCTCACCAGATCTCTTTCCAGCCAGAGCCCAGGCCTGGAAGAAGCTGAGCACAGCAGTCAGACCCAAGCCAGGCACATCTGGAGGAGTTCAAACTTGGTAGATCTGGATCTGGTAAGCTGAGACATTTAGCTAGACCCAGATATATGAGAGCATTCTCTTTCTTTTTCTCTTGATCTAGAGAGGGGACAACAGGTAACCAGGGTGAACTAGTCTGCCTAGAAGACCCCAGGTACACCAAGGGGAGGTGATCAGACAGAACTTAGGGGAATACAAATCCTCAGTTTAATATCGGCTTAGCGACACAGACATGTTTACTCTCACAGTCTAAAATACAAACCCATTACAGTTACAAAAGTTTGTCAACTGCTATATATCACTACCCATTATTAGTGTTCCTAGTTGTAGTTCTGTAAATACAGAACTGTAACTGCCTTAACCACATAATCTCTCTTGGGTAAGAATTTTAGTAGGTGCTAAGGTTCTAACTGCACCAAAGCTCTACAACAAAGGTTAAAGGACAGTGCTACACAAATCAATGATAAACATACCAATTTGGAAAAAAGATACAGAACACATCAACATTTAATTAACAAAGCAAAAAAATAAGCAGGTCTTAAAGTCCAATTTTTAAACATTTTTTGTTTTGCACCAGTGCTAAAAATATTTTCTTTCTTTTTCACTTATCAAATATAGTAAAATAAGAATTAACTACTGCTAGGGGCACAGTGCTCTGCTTCAGGTTTCTCTAGGCCAGCAGACAAGTACAGATCCCAGTATATCTCCCTCTGTCCAACACAAGCTAATAGAGGTGATCCTGTCCAACATCACAAGTCTGCCCTAGACTTTCCAAGACCAAAGGCAACATATGTCCGTACTGGCTGAGGAGGATACCTAGCCCTACTCAACCCCAGTGGCTCAGTCATAATCCCACACCTGCCATGGTACTCCAGTTAAGGCTTCCCCAAGCCAGGAAGCAGATTTGAGTGGTGACGAGGTGATCATGCTGATCTTCTACATTACCACATGTACAACAAGATTCTCAAGAATGTTCCTGCCAGCAGAGGTGCTCAGTCTATAGTTCTGCCTAGCCTGGCAGGAGACAAGCCTCTGATGGTACACATCAGTGGCCAATAGCCTCTGGCCATATGACTGACTGAACAATATCTTAACTTAGTGACCACTCTCAGCCTCAGAGTCCAGTCTGCAGCCCACACCAGTATAGATTCCAAACAGCAGTGACCCCAGCTAGGGAACACAGCTGCCACTTTGCCCAATCAGAGAAAATGGCAGTACTTATAACTGTCTCACTGGATTGTGGAACACAGCCAGTAGTCCTACTTGACCTTAGCGCATAGGCAAAAGCCTGCCTAACTAGAAAACCTAAAAGCAAGGTCTACATATCTATGTTCACGAGGCAACCTTCTTAGAATCCAAAGGCAGACTAAAGGTCTATCCTTACCAAAAAATATCTAACAAAGGTGGGAAGAAGTGGCTGCTTCCTCAAATGAGCAGCACCAACACAAAAACACAAGGAATAAAAAGAAGCAGAAAAATATGACACCACTGAGAGAAACTAGTAAAACTCTGTTAATGTATTTTAAAGAAATAGAAAGGTAGGAAATGACTGAAAGAATAATCCCCTTAACAAATTACAGGAAACTAATGAAAATATGGACAGAAAATTACATGATAGTTGGAAAATAATTCATGACTAAAACAGGAAGCTTGACAAAGAGAAACAAGAGATAATATAATAACTGAACTCAGAATTCAATATAAAGCTTCAATAGCAGGCTTGATCAAGCCGAACAAAGAATCAATGGGGCCGAAGAACAGAAAACTGAAAATTGTCCAGTCAAAGGAGCAAAAGGAATGAAAAAGAATAAAGAATGAAGGAAAAACTCAGGGACAGAAAGCTCAGAGATGTGCAAACCAAGCCAATCTACATGAGTTCACTAAGACAAACCATGATCAAGCTAACAAAAATCAAAGACATAAAAAGAACTCTGAAGGGCCGGGCAAATAGTTCAGCGGATTAAAGCACCTGCAAGCAGACACAGGGGCCAGGGGTTCCATCCCTGGGCCTGCTGCGAGCCCCGACCCTAGGGCACTGAGACAGGGATTGAGACTTGCCGTGGTGGACCGCACCTGTAATCCCAACTCTTGGGAGGCTGTAAACAGGCAGATCACTACAAGTCCGATCTAGTAGTGAGACCCTGAACACCCTGTAGACCCTTCCCTAAAAATACAAAACAAACAAAAAAGCCCCCCAAAACTCTGAAATCATCAAAAGATAATGCATCTGGGCTGGCCAGATAGCTCAGCTGACTAAAGCTCCTGCACAGGCAGGGCACAGTGGCTAGGGTTGGATTCTCCATGCCCTCTGCTGGCCCTGCCCCCAGTGCGCGCTGAGATGGTGATTGAGACTGGGCATGGTGGCACATCCCTGTAATCTCAGTGCGTGGGAGGATGAAAACAGGAGAGTCACTATGAGTCGGATCTATGTAGTGAGACCCTGTAGACACTGTACTAAATACATTTAAAAAAAAGAAAAAAGATAACCCATCAGACACAAAGGAGCCCTAATGTTGCCCTACTTTCTTAGCAAGATCATATCTATCTATATATCTATATATATGACATATGTATCATAAAAAGCCTCATATAAATTTAAGAGGAATGAATCATTAAACATCTTTCCTCATCACAATAAAACTAGAAATCAGTAACAGTAGAGCTCTTAAAAAATTCAGATGTGAAAACAAAACAACATGCTTCTTAACAACCAATGATGCAAAGAAAATATCAAAAATGAAATAAAAAAATACTTTTGAGATATATGGAAACACATTATACCAAAACTTGTAGTATACAGTAAAAGCAATTTAAAGAGGGAAATTTATAGCAATAAATGCCTGTATCAGAAAAGAAGCTCACAAATAAACAATCTAATATTATATCTCAAGAAACTAAAGTTTCCAAGCCTAAAGTTACAAGAAAGAAAATGATAAAAGAATAAAAAAAAAAAAAATCAATGAGATTTAAGAGTTTGCTTTTTGTAAAGATAAAATTAACAAACTCTTAAAAAAACTCAAAGTCTGAAATGAAAGAAGGCATTAACAATTCATACCACTGAAATATAAAAGATTATTTAAAAAATCATTATGAAGTTGCATACCACAAATTTGATAATCTAGAGAAAATTAACAAATTCCAAAGCACATATAACCTACCAAGACTGACGTATGAACAAAGAAAAAATATAAACAGATCAGTAACAAGAAGACTGAATCAATAATAAAGTCTCCCACTAAAGAAAAGTGTAGGACCAGATAGTTTCATAGTTGAATTCTACCAAATATCTAAAGAAATAATACTGATCTTCAAATTCTTCCAAAAAATTAAAGTGGAGAAAACTTTTCCAAACTCATTTTACAAGGTCAGAATTAACTTATCCCAAAAGCAGACAAGGACACTACAAAAAAACATACATAGGAATGATTTCTCTAGCTCTGTGAGGTACGTTAGAGAAATCATTCCTAAAATTTATTTGGACCCAGAAAAGACCTAGAATAGCAAAGG